TATTTACCACCCCAATGGGATGTTGATAGGTGTTGGTGGTGATAAAGAAAACTCTATCTTTACGTACACACATTAGCATTTTTTATATAGTATGTTTAGATTTACATTGTATGGATCGATTTTTAAAATATTCTAGCACATCTAGTACTTTACCATGGGCTATTGATTTAGCCTAGGCAACATAATACTAATACGTTCTGTTGTTGAATCGATTATATATTATACCGGTAGTATCTTTCTGTACACAGTGGTGTGTATTTGCTTTAAGGAAAGTTTTATTTCGATTTGGCAACATGGTTTATGTAATCAAAATATGGATCAGGAGTAAAAGCAAAGCGACTATAGTAACATGTGGATATCATTTAAACTCTCGCCCACCGAGAAATTAGCATTTTTGATCATAGGAGTGTCTGTTATGCTAATAAACGTACGTAAACGATAAATGTGACTTCGCAAACTAATTAGGCTGATTAAATTGATATCTTAGCCTGCAAGGTCTTCGGTTGAAACAAGACTTTAACAAGAACAAATGTGCCCGTTGCAAAAAGTTGACAGCACTCTTATCTTTGAAATGGATAGAATAATTCTGCTTCATCATTTTTGTTTTCTTTTTTTTTTTTTTTTTCGGTCTGACCGAAAGAGAAAGTACGTACAGTTTTCGAATATCGCAAAAATAATCTTTGTGTAGGTTTGAGATATTAACGATTGAACTGATAATTGAAATTTATTACGCTTTGCTGACCCAACGTGAAATCGACAAAATAAATAAGAACACCAGTCAAGATAAAGTGTAATTGCATCTGACAGAATGGTTCCATGAGCAGTAGACACTGGAATCGACGCCATATAAATGGTCTCATGCGCAGTAGTTTTGGAACGGGCTAATACGCAGTAACTACTCAAGTCAACGCCATCTTTAGGTGACATTCGCAGTAAGTATGAATTAAAATCGACGCCATGTTCCGAAAACAAAACTAAAATGGCGATCTTATCTTTTATTTTTAACCCAAAGCACTTCTTTGCTGTCTAATGATCTGAAATTCCAATTCGATCTGGCCATTGATAGACATAAGTACCTAATCTTGATCGTGCAGAGTCAATTTCCATAATGCGACATTTACAAGATTGTTAGTATTCTTAATAACGCCTTTGTTGTTTAACGTTTACACTAATGCCCAAAGATTTTGCATTTAAAGAGTTAATAAATTCTTCTTGGATCGGCTACAACAACTGCTCGTAAGGGCAGGTCTCCAGAGAAGACTGAAAAGACTTCGTTGAGCAAAATGAACTGCAAAGAGCAAACGTAGCAAAATGGGATACTGCAAACTGCAGAAGCGACATAAATCCTGAATTGTCTGAAGTTAGTAGGGAATCATTTACGACAATGAAGGAATGAATGAATGATTTGTTTGGAAACACAGAGTACGGTTATTTTGCCTTGCACACTAGATTGAAAATAAGCTTAAATTTACATCCCTAGAAGATTTCACTTGCAGAAGAAATATGTTGTGGTTATGTGTACCATCAACTTTAAAAACGTTGTTAGTAAATCGCCTCCATATCAATGTGGCTAATAATTAATTTGTTTACCATTTTCGGTCGGTTTTATTTAGACGAGAAGCTTTCATCATAAACAGCATACCTTGTACAGCCTACATCAGAATGTCCTTAAAAGCCGGTGCAGTTAGTAAGTGCCTGGAATGCTCGTTAGTTTTATTTCTTATTTGCCAAACGCGAGATGTGCCTACCTGCATCCTATATTGGATCGGTGTAGGATGACTTTATGGTGCTTTTAAAATAACGCGACGTTTGTTGGTAAAATTATTAGACACACCCGTAAATTTCAAGCCTCGCATTACCTTATAAGGACTATATAAATTTAAGATTATCAGCTTCTTCTTTTTTTACTCGGACGTGTGGCTGATGGCAATCTGTTTGTTTTCCGACGACCAAGAAGGTCAATTCTATTATGAGAGTATACCTACTGATGTCCACACGTTTGCTTAAGGACGTATAACGTAATTATTGTTCTTTTTCACTTGACCAGTACTGAATATAACATTATAAAAGTTATGTAATTAATTTACATAAGTTCAAAAACTACTGCTCATTTTTCACAAAGAGCACGTAAATGAAAAAAAATTCACTTAGTAGTTATTTTACATATGTACCTACCGTTATTATACTGTCTAAGTAAGAAGCAGGATATCCTGATTCTTCTGATACCTATGTTCCCTTTGGGTGTTTCATTCCCATCAGCTACCAATGTTGGTGGGCGGAAGTCCTTCTCGATTACGCTGGAGCGTACAGCGGTAGGCGTTCTTTAACCTCATTGAGGATTCGTGGGAATGAATGGGTGGTGGTCGGGGTAAGAAAGACGAGATCGACGACAGAAACAGTGAAATAATATTTGTGAAATATTACCACTTCAGTATTTGTCTAGGTGATCCAAGAAAATTTGGACCAGGGCAGAAGAACCTGGAATGCCTTCCCGAATACTACACAGTGATCCAAACCTCTAGGCCATATGCTATTCAATGCTAGAAAATGTTGCAAATTTCAAATCAAAAGACATTATTTAGTATAATCAATATTTGGACAAACAGGCATCTCACCAGTAATCCCTTTTTTTTAGCTGTTTGGCATCTTTTACGTTTTCCTATTTGGCATTTTCAATAATTATGATTCAGCTGAAGTTGAGAAGGTGTCTTCTGTTAGAACAACTCCTCCATACAAAAATTCTTGGGCCACATACATAGAATCAGTTATATCATCAAAAATTGGAGATCGTAATTAAGCTATACAAATGAGTAAGTACATGAAGGATTAAAGTTCCAACTTTACGATGTTATTTTTGATGCTGAACTACAAGTTCTGATAAGATAGATATACAAGGGAGAAAATGTATCCTACAGTGAATAATTTAAAAGAAAAAGGAAAATTTTATTTTCCATAATACTCGTCAATGCATTGGCGTTTGCGTTTTGGTAGTTGTAATTTCTGCCCTGTCTTTGACAGTCAGTTCTGCTCTATTGGTTTGATGGTGACCCAGCCCTCTCTTCTCGGTTAAGTTTCCTTCTGTGTAAATTACAATATTCGCTAGTTTGGTGAAAGTTGCCGTTGTACAACCAAATAGGGTGAGCAAAAATAAAAATCCAACGTGATTACTAACGTCGGACGACAGGGTATCTAGTCGAGAAATAAAAAAAAAACGTTTAATTTTTCTTCTTTTATTTTGAATAACAAGAAGTGCTAGTGACCTTCTACCACAGCATGTTGGCAAGCCTTTGCCTTAATATGGTAGCTTTAGCCGCCCCCGTGAACCGCCCCCGGTTCTTTCAGTTCACTCTTCAATCCGTCCATTTACCAAGAGAAACAAACACACACGCATACACTTTCGTACGGCCCAATACAACGATACCTTATTTGCATACACACATATGTGTGTAAAAGGCAGAACTACAGATGCATATTCATTAGGAGTCAAGTGTGTATATCAATAACCGTTTCATGTGGTATTACCAACAGCACGACAGCAGCCTACTTGGATTTATAGTGTCGCTCGTTATTGTACCTATGTATGTACCAGCGCGAGATCTTCTTTTCGTAAAAATCCAGTTGGCTCACCATGTAGGCAAAAGCAATGCGATACAGGAATCATTGGGAACGATTGCTAATAAATTTTACGAAATCGACAAGTAGTTCACATCACAAACAAAGCATGCTTTCTTTAAATACACATACATGTATGTGCTACTATATACTTCCGAACAGTGTTGGATGATTTAGTAAATAATACAACTCATTCCGTCACTGTTGATCACTTTGTTCAAATAGAAGGGAAAATGATCCTGAAAAAGGAACTAGAAGTTAGACATTTGGAAACCATGTTAATAATGTATTATTCAGAATCTCAAAACACTAAAACTACAATACTAAAGTATGTAAAGGGAACCAGGAAGATCTAAATGGACCTGTAATGTAACATTCGGATTCGTTAGGAAGTAAATATCTCTATTACCCAGGATCCAGGTAGCTGAGAAGGATTTTCCTGAAGAAAGATATCGAAGTAAAGCTATTGGTTAATTGATAGTACAGTTTGGAGGACGTGGAAAGGGTGGCTCATTAAACTGAAACAATTCGGAAATAAAATTATCCATGATTTGAGAGATCTCGAAGTAAAGCTATTGGTTCATTGATACTACATTTTGGAGTACGTGGAAAGGGTGACTCATTAAACTGAAACAATTCGGAAATGAAGCTATCCATGATTTGTGGGTGAACCTCAAATGGAGATCTTTATCATTTTGCGATTCCAGTGCTTTTAATGAGACGACTAGAACGTTTAATGCCGTTTTATGGTAAGTAGAAAGTAAATCCATTTATTCGTTTGTTTCACGTTGACTTGACTTAACAAGTTTATTCAGACGATCAATGGGAGACCTTTGCATCTTATTATTCGTTTCTTTGTTTTGAATCGGCGAAAAAAATGAATGAGAGACCACGACAACGTCGTCGGCCGCGACTGTGGTGCACGTTGCAGCCGAGGCCACACATTTCAAGTCGTCACAAAATAGTGGCCAATATAAGATGTTCATTTAGCATTCCTGCGAAAGGCGTGAAGATTCCGTCTTACAATTAGATAAAAAGGCAGACACGACAGGTGAGGTGGTGGAGTTTGATGGGAGAAAAAGACAATTGGAATGAGACAGAGCACTGGTCCACCCACGTGGCCACTTGACGAGACTACGCAGCGCTCATGTCACCATCCGCATGGAGTTGCTTTGCCATAAGAGGCACTTTTATTCGTATCGGTGAGCCACTATTCCACCAACTAAACGACATCGTATTCTTCTTCCATCCTATGTTTTCTTTCTGTAGATCCTTCTGTTTTCCTATGCTTTCCAAAACCTCCGCATTGTCAACCTTTTTTACCACAGTATTATCATTATCTCCTTATAACACCACAACTGAGACTTTTTCTTTTCCACCTCTCCCACCATATACGTTCCACACCCGTATAGGGGATTCATCAACCATTTGCGAGCACAAAGTGAATTCGATCAGTAGAAAACCCATCTTGGGCTATGTGATCCCATAAGTATTGAAAATCGAGGACTTCTTCTAACTAGTTTTTCGTTTCCAGTTGACAGAACATCAATAAAATTTACCCTTTTACTCAAAAAATGATTGGACCTGACGCCATTTTTGTTTTATATCTCTAGCGCTTTCTCCATCCTGGGCTGTCTGACTTCATAAATATTGAAAATCGAGGACTTCTTCTAACTAGTTTTTCGTTTCCAGTTGACAGAACATCAATAAAATTTACCCTTTTACTCAAAAAATGATTGGACCTGACGCCATTTTTGTTTTATATCTCTAGCGCTTTCTNATGGGGAACATGTTTATTTAATTTTCCTTTTCTTTTAAAATAAGTAAGGGTGCACACAATACCTACATCATCGTAGGTAGTTTTCATTATATATTTCGAGGACTTCTTCTAACTAGTTTTTCGTTTCCAGTTGACAGAACATCAATAAAATTATCCTTTTACTCAAAAACGATTCGACCTAACGCCATTTTTGTTTTATATCTCTACTGCTTTCTCCATCCTGGGCTATCTAATTTCATAAATATTAAAAATCGAGAGCTTTTTTTAATCGGGTTTTCGTCTCCAGTTATTGATGAAACATAAAGGAAATTCACTCTTTTGCTCGAAAAGATTTAGATCATAGTAGAATAACAATATCATAGAACTCAAGAAATCAGTTAATAAATAGAAAGTGCCCAATGGGCTCTACGTGCATTAAAAGGTATATGTGCATCATTATTCATGATATACTATAGTTATTAATGACATATAATTAAGCATGACACTATACTGAGCAGTTGAATGCCAGTAATACGAATCTACCTCGTTCTTTTGCTATTTTGAACCAAAATGATTTTCTATGACAAATGGGTTTAAGGATAATTTTACAGGCAATGAAACAAGCATAGACAGGGCTTTCCATCGTTACCGTAACAAAGTGATGTAAATAAAGTTTATTTTGGCTGTCAGTTTGTTATTTTGACCCAGTTTTCGAAACGGTTTTGTTTATGTGAAGGCTCCTTAAGTATTTGCCAAATTACCGAGGAAAGGTGTAGGAATTATGCCTTTTCGTTCAGTTAATACTTACCTGAAAACGATAAAAATAAAATATATGTAGGTGTTGTATGTACAATGTACCAAAGCTGTGACTCATTTCAACTTTTTTAATCGTACCCACATACATATAAGTATCATATATGTATTTTTTTGTATTTAATCTAGCGAAAACATGAAAACAATTTTGAAAAATGATTTTGTTTACAACAAATTATTGAGTGAAAGGAATGCCCAAAAGATTTATCGAATGTAACTTATTACTTAATGATTAATTCTGGTTCAGTGTGTTATTGGCTGTCGTGGATTTGTTTACAATTTTGGATTACACTGCATCATAATTATCTCTGTTGCTGACGTTTTGGTATCGATCACTTGGGATATTTTCAGGGTTGTTACTTCTCCCTTTTGACGATTCCTGATCCGTCCACGCTGTTCCAAGTTTTTCGCTGGTTTCATTGGATCACTTAGCCAATACTGAGACAGTAAGAATACCAATTGTATAGATAATCTTTCACTTCCCTTTGGTCTTCATTTCGTCCATTGCATCTTTGTCGCCTCAATCTCCACCCATCTATATTCCCATGATTCCTTAAGGAGGTTGAAGAGGGATTTCTGTCTTATCGTCCTACTTTGCATCACAGTGTAGTCGATGATAATGGAACACCCAGAAGATGTTTGTTTACATGTCACAGTTGTCATCTCATAATTAGTTAATTAAAAATGCCTTCATCATTATATATCAAAAAATTTCAAAATGAAAGATGAAAAGTAGGGCGTTATAGAGACGATCTCCCTGCACCTTTTTGGATACTTTTTTCATATATTAGACCAAACAATTTTTTTCTTCTGCCTTCATTCCGCCCACTTGAGTTTTCCTACCCCAATCACCATCCATCCATCCCCATGATTCCTGTAAAGAGGCTGAAGAAGGCCATCTGCCTTACCATCTGACTTTGCATCACAATGTAGTTGGAGATAATGGAACACCCAAAAGATGTCTGTTTGCATGTCAAACTGGTCATCTTATAGTTAGATGAAAAGCTTTTAAATGTTTAAAGGATTCCAAAATGAAAGACCAAAAAGTGGAGCAACCTTATACATTTTTGGATAGTTTTTTCGAATATTAAACCAAACACTTTCTGATTTGCAATCAAAATCATCATTGCTTCCGTTATCTCCAAACTAACATTTATATCTTTGTTTGTCTCCGAATATTGTGGAAAATCATTTAATGTACCAAGTATATTTGATAAGGTTCTTAAGTAGGTATACGCGAGTCAAACCTACACTTATTGACATATAAGGAATATCATAATTAAGGGTATCATCTCAAACAGTCCTTCAGCTTTACTAATCCGCTATTGGTTGTACAACTGCGCATTTATTAAGTGGGTAATTTGTTTATTTATGAATGTAGCGTTGTTTAGCGTAGACTGTGGTGGAAAGACCGGTTTCCCACTTATGCCCGCCCTGAACGAAAACCTACACATTCTCAAAGTATTTACGTGATTAATTCAGTAAATTGAGACTTGCAACGGAAAAGAGACGTTTTCTTGAAAGCGCATACTTCTAAATTTAATTTTCCGATGCATCATCGACAGCACGCTCGGTGCAGCGCGTCTATCGGTGCATGCGTTCGTATCTGCCGACCCATCGCGAGTGCACAAACAATTGCACGCACGCACCGTCGCTTTTGATAAAATAATTACGCGAAAACGTTGCTAGTTATCATACATGTACACGAATAAACGATGATGATGATTGGCCGATGTTCGATGTGACATTTCGCGCGGGTTTTGTTCGCGAGTGATTTGGGTTTTTAACTGTTACGACATCCTCACTATGATTTAATACTGTCATTGCCAGTTCTAATAATATCATGGACCTTAATCTAAAATACGAGGTATGTAATAACGGTCATTTGTAATTGTTCAGTAAATAGGATGCTGCGAGAAATTGTATTCATTATCCATTAGCAACAATCAGTCGTTGTAGAAGTTATAACATTTGCCAGAATCTTTTGAAAAAATTTTCAAAATTTGTATCTCATTCAGAAATAGAAATATGCACTTAGAGGGACATACGGGGACATATTTCCCGTTTTAAGATAATGGAGAAATAACTACGCAAAAAAAAATTTTAAATGGTTGACGATCTTCAACTATCAACTGAGATTCGTCCTTCACAAAATTTGTATTTAATTACACTGATATAAATATAAGAAAAGATAAATTGTAGGTAAAAGGAAACATTAGAAAATAGTTTGATTTTTTTACGGAGGTGGAATAAATGGTTTAAGAGTTACGTAAGCAAATGCTCGTTTCCTTTTTTTAAAGAACTCTTAACCTGAGCTATTATTGACGACGATCACTTCTAATTTAGATACTCTACTTTCAGCTATCAGTATCTTGTTCTTTTCTATAAATGTCGTATTGTTTATTATTTGATAACAATTGAATTTTCTTAGCACATTTTCATCTTCATAAAGAAATACGTGCAAGTTACATGTATGTTAAAGCCAAAGTGTCGATAAAATTGAGAAGAATTAAAAGTCCAAAATATTACTCCATTTAATCCTTTGATTAAAAGGACTAGGGCAAATTCAAACAGCTAGTCAAAGACTTGGAAGCTCGAGTAGGAAAATGAATTATGCTGCTGGATTCATACCGCTACAACTAGGATTAATTGGTCAATGATCCAAACAGATTATATTTAATTTGTCCCTAAAATTTGAATCTAATTTTAAGGTTTGATCAAAGCTATTATCCCCTTGTAGCATCCAAAAGAGTTTTTTGTTTTTTTTGATGGAGAGATCGCATTTCGGTCTAACTAATAGCTCTGTTGGATTTTCTAAGAATTTCTTGTCCATAAATAATATAAATTTAAAAATGATAATGTGCATTTAGCAAGGAGGAGTTAGAGATAGCTTTAAATAAAACGGATGCGGTACTGACAAAACAGTACTGTATGAAAATAAATAAAAGTAAAAAAATACTGGTATGCTAGGTAACAAAAAGTACGAAAAGAGCGAATGTAAAGATAGGAGACGAAAAATTAGAAGAAGTGGCCGATTTTAGGTATCTAGGAAGTCAAATAAGTCAGGACGGAAGGAGTAGTAGGGATATAAAGCAGAGGATAGCGCAGGGTTGACTCGCCTTCAATAGAAAGAAGTTGCTTCTATGCTAGCGAACGGTTAATTAAGAAATTCGAAAAAGATTGTTAAAGGTAGGTATATGTTTGTGTGCGAAACATGGACAATGAACGCGCTGGAAAAGAAAAAGTTACAAGCGTTCGAAATGTGGTATTACAGGCGAATGATGAGGATACCGTGGATAGAGAAGGTTAGAAATGAAGAGGTATTAGAAAGAATAGGAGAACAGAGGACTGTATGGAAGTCAATAAGAAATAGGCAAGAAAGGTTAGTAGGTCCTATTAACCTTTCTTGCCTTCTCAGGCAGGCATGAAGGTCTAGACAGAGACACATTAGGGGCAGAAACAGGAGTTAGGAGGGATAGAGGTAGACCTAGGTTAGATTACTGTTCACAAATAGTTAAGGATGCGGGTTGTTCTAGTTTTTGGAAATGCGAAGTTTAGCTCAGAATAGGAAAGAGTGGAGGTACGAGTCTAACCAGTCTTAGGACTAACGACCCTATGATGATGAACGATTTTTAGAATCAAAATGCAATAGGTGTAGGTACATATAGTTTAAATGTTTTCTGTTTCGTTTTTTCTCAATGTCAGTTGATTCTTAAATACAGATGACAATATGTATTAGAAAGAATAGGAGAACAGAGGACTAAACAAGCAAGATAGGTTAATAGGACACCTTCTCAGGCGTGAACGGGAGTTAGGAGGGGTAGAGGTAGACCTAGATTAGATTACTGTTCGCAAATAGTTAAGGATCTGGGATGTTCTAGTTTTGGGGAAATAC